TTTAAGCAACCCAGTTTTATAAAGTTTTTCTTCTTCTCTTTTTTAGTAATTGTATACAGGAGAAGGGGTTACTAGCCCATTGCTCCCGGCATTTTAGTCGCCTCATACGACACGCATGGCTTACGGAGGAAAGATTCTTTTCCACTTCCCCATGGACAATAGAAGAAATAAAAAAGAACAAGAGCTATTTAGAAAAAGGAGAAAAACCTAGATGTATGTATATATATATATATGCATGTGCGTGTCTGTGAAGTGTGACCAAAGTGTAAGTAGGAGTAGCAAGATATCCCTGTTATCTTAGCGTGTTTATGAGACAGAAAAAGAAACCAGCAATCCTACCATCATGCAAAACAGTTACAGGTTTTTGTTTCACAGTCATCTGGCAGGACGGTAGTACTTCCCTGGGTGGTTGCTGTCTACCAACCTACTAGAGAGTAATTATAGTTTTACATACAAACAACAAATATAGTGTTCAATTATGTATTAATAAATTTAAATAAACATATAAAATAACATTTTACTTACCTTTATTGAAGATTGGTGATGGCATCTGGAAGATAGGGAAGAGGAGAGAGGGAGTTGGGGTTAGTGTTTGGAAGGAGAATCCCCCTCCATGAGGACTTCAGGTATCAAAGACCTCTCTGGGGTTACTTCCTTTCTGTCTTTTAATGCCACTAGGACCAGCCTGAGAGTCAATGGACCCCTGTCTCTCAAAATAACTGTCCACAGTTCTCTGTTTATGGTGCCTCTTTAAGATTTCCCTAAAACGGGACATGGTTCTGTCACTGATCTTATTGCAAAGATGGCTCGTTTCAGCTTGCTCAGGGTGGTACTTCTCCACAAACATTTGAACATTCCCCTTGGACATCATTCCATTTCTGTATTATTTCCTTCTTCACATCTATGGTGTTTCTCACTTTCTTTGGGCCCATTGTAGCTTATTTCACAGTCGCACAAGCACTAAACACAATGAAATAATCGTAAAATGCTTGAATGAGAGCGCAGGTTAGTGTTCACTCAAGCATCAACAAGACCAGAATGGCTCACGGCGCCTGCGTGGGGACGCAGACAGAGCCAGCTGCCAGACAGATCCGGTACCCGGTGGTTCGAATATAAGGGCGAGTTCGATAATAGGGACAAAGTTGGTTCGAAAAAAGGGTTCTATTTTTGAAGAGTTCGATACGCGATATGTTCGAAATTTGAGGTTCCACTGTATTATTATATGTATTATTATTATACATTATTATTATTATTATTATTATTATTATTATTATTATTATTATTATTATATAAATAATTTGTAATTTTTATTCACACAAAAAATGTACGATTTGCTGTTGTTTGTTATTGCAATAATTGTATAAATAATGTCAACCCATTCACGACTGCATATTGGAATGGACAGTGACGTAATTTATTTACTCTTAAACATAGCCAAGCAATGGCTCATTTCTCCTACGTTGAGCTCAATTTCAAGGTACTTTTCATTGTGAAAGCAATCAAAATCATATCTATTTCTGTAATACATCTTCCTTTCTATCAAATGAGACCAAAAAAACGAGAATACAATCATAAAAACCATACGAAAATACCGCTAAGGGGTGGCTAATTGCTGAGAAGTGAACTCCATTATTTATGCTTAGATTTCTTTCATTTTTGGTGTATGTTAAGAAGCATCTTTCCATCATACAGTGCCCAAGTTTCAATAAGATAGCCCAACAAACAAATGAGATACAATTCCCAAGATCAAGAGCAAGAGCCCCTCACCAGTGTCAAGGAACCTGTCTTGAGGTCTGCTCGCTTATGGAAATTTTGCACGTGTATGGAAGCAAAAAATCGACCCATCGACTGCTCGTATTTGGAAAAACTCGCACGTGGACACACTCGCAACTAGAGGTTCCACTGTATTTAAGAATGTAAATACAGTGGAACCTCGGTTTTCATCTTTAGCCCTTGAACTGTCTAAATGTAGATCTACGTTTGTATGTGTAGCGCTCCAAACGTAGATCAACGTTTTATTTTTCGTTCCTTCAAATTTGGCACAATAGGCATGAGTCGCCTAGACATGAAAGAATGGGTCTGTGCACTCAGTGTGTGCAGTATTAAAAAATCTGAGAGCACTTAGTACCTTGTGGGAGCACCAGCTCAACTGAGTGCCAGCTAGAGCAAATAGCGTGGCAAATACAAGGGATTCACTGATGCCATGTCGCATTAACACTCCCATTTTAAGAGGAAAGTAAAAATAGGTTAGATAAATACATGTGTGGGTGGGTGTGAGTTGGACCTGACTAGCTTGTGCTACTAGGTCTGATGTCATGCTCCTTCCTTCAATGGATGTGACCTGACTAGGTGGGTCATTGATCTAAGCCAGAAGGGGTGGAGGGTGACATGGACTTGCCTTGCATGGGCCAGTAGGCCTGCTGCAGTGTTCCTTCTTTCTTATGTTCTTATGTATTCAGCAGGCTGGCTAGCTGACTGGCTGGCTGGCTTGCTTTGGCTGTCTTTGGCTCTCTGTCTATATCTCTATCTGTCTATCTATCTCTGTCTATATCTGTCTGTCTATATCTCTGCCTATCTATATCTCTGCCTATCTATATCTCTGCCTATCTATATCTCTGCCTATCTATATCTCTGCCTATCTATATCTCTATATCTCTGCCTATCTATATCTCTATATCTCTGCCTATCTATATCTCTATATCTCTGCCTATCTATATCTCTGCCTATCTATATCTCTGCCTATCTGTATCTGTCTATCTGTATCTGTCTATCTATATCTGTCTCACTCACATGCACATGTAAGTACAGTTATTATACATAAGTGTAAATTACCTAGGATAACCCAAAAATTCCAGGCACAGACGGACAGACAAACATGTTTGTGTGTATCAGTGAAAACAAAGCCAGGGTTCCCCAAGTGCCCATTTATCAAATGTCACAGTTGTCATAACACCATTCTTCAAGGAGTTTGATATACTATAAGGCAGGCAGGCAGGCGGGCAGGCAGGTAGGTTTGTGTGTAACAGTGATAACAAATACAGCGAGGGTTAGCTAAATACACGAGTGAGTGTGGATGGGCGTGAGTTGGACCTGATTAGCTTGTGCTACTAGGTCTGATGTCATGCTCCTTCCTTCAGTGCATGTGACCTGACTAAGTGGGTCAATGGTCTAAGCTGGGGGGAGGGGGAGAACATGGAACTCCCTTGCATGGGCCAGTAGGCCTGCTGTAGTGTTCCTTCTTTCTTATGTATTCGGCAGGCTGGCCGGATGGCCGGCTGGCTGGCTTTGGCTGTCTATCTATATCTCTGTATCTGTCTATATCTGTCTATTTATGTCTCTCTCACATGCACACATAAGTACAGTTATTATACAGTGTAAATTACCTAGGATAACCCAAAAATTCCAGGCAAAGATTGATAGACAGAGACAAGACATGTTTGTGTGTAACAGTGATAACAAATACAGAGAGCATTAGTTGGAGAAGTGGGCATTTATCAAATGTCACTGGGCTGTCAACAGTATAGGGATGCCTTTCATAACACCATGCTTCAAGGTATATGCCAGGGTATCTAAAATATTGCTGGACCTATAAATACTTTGCATATATTTCTAGACAATAGTAAATAACCCAAGCATGTGTAAATGTTCACCAGTCAATGTGATTGTGACTATTTGAGCACTATTTCAGCACCTAATATTAGTGTCAGAACAAAGATTGGCTATGAAATCACAAGAACTATTATAAATTGCAATTATCAGAACATAAAAATATATAAATTAAAACAAAAACGAGAAAAAAAAGGTACATCGGCAACACTTCTGCAAGCGGCAGGAGTCGATGTTGCCATCAGGTGAGCATCCAGAGCCAACTTCACGGTTTTATATCTCGGTAAGTACTGACCCTAAAACTTTTTTTAATCCTATAACATGTAGAAAAATGTACTCTTCATTTTAAAAGAAAAGAAGATTTTTTTATTTTTCAAAATATTTGGAGCACCACACGAGTGAATGTACATCTACGTTTGAACAGTTTCAGGGTTAATTTGTTCCAGAAAGTCTGATGAAAACCGAATTCAAGAAAAACTGAAGCCATATTTCCCATAAGAAATACATAATGTAAATCCAATTAGTCCGTTCCAGACACCCAAAAGTATTAACAAAAAATACATTAATAGAGAATAACTATAGCTTTACATACAGGAAACAATGAGAAATAAATATAAAGGATTAATGAAATGGATATATGAACATTTAACATAACTTTTACCTTTATTGAAGACTCTTGTTGGCATACGCAAGACAGCAAGGAGGGGAGAGGAAGGAGAGGTTATTGTTTGAAAGGGAAACCCCCCTCCATAAGGACTTCAGGTATCAAGGCCCTATCTGGGGTTACTTCCCTTCTTTGTCTTTTACTGGCACTAGGACCAGCTTGAGTGGTCTGTTTCTGGCATCTCTAAGATTTGCCTAAAATGGGACAAAGCACTGTTATTGAACATGTTGCAGATATGGCTTGTAACAGCTTTAAGGTGATATTTCTCCACAAAACTTTGCAACTCACTCCACTTTGCACACATGTCCTTAATCACTGAAGAAGGCACATTCTCCTCTCTTTCTTCCTCCTCCTCCTCCGAAGCACTTCTATCATGTTTCTCAGAATTTTCCTTGGCCCCATGGTGGCTTATTTAGCAGTTGCACTCAATAAGCAAGCACAAAAAACACTGGGTTTTTATGAAATGTTTTGTATGAAAGCGCAGGGTAATGTTCACTCGACAAGAAACAAAGCCCGACTGACTCAGAATGCGTGCGTGGGATGCTTTGTGTGGGCATGGGCAGGCAGACACGTTTGGTATGGTGGACGAAAACTGAGGTGATGAACAAAACCTGTTACAAAATTTTGATGAAAAAAGTCGTCGAAAACCGAATTCGACGAAAACTGAGGTTCCACTGTACCTGGACCTCTTCATCCTTTTCAGTTTCAAGTGAAGATCAGTTATACCTACCTTTTCTCGCTTCTTTTTCCGTAACTGCTTTTCTAGTTCCAAGTCCCAAGTAGGATTCGGCATGGGGGGTGGTACCCATTCTCGTGCAATATATTTTTTGGCTTCATATTTTGCCCTAACAAACTGCTCTAATGCAGTGTCCATTTGTGGTCGTCGAAAACTGTCTGGAATGTTAGCTTCATATACAGCCCGAGCTCGGCTGTTTCCCATTTGCTGGATACACTGTCAATGATAAAAAAAATTTTAAAAACATATGTGAAATGAGCAAGTAAGTGAATAGGTAGAGTATTTGCAGGATTTGAAGGAGGAATTTAATAATTTCTTAGACATATTAGATCTGCCCATTTTCTTTCACAAACAAAAATACATTCCATGGATCTCTAACATTTGTCTACTTTTATGAAATACTATTGTATTTAGCTTTCTCAATGCCTGATATCTTAATGTAAACAGTTTAATGTAGTACACATTAAAATACTGAGGCCATTACACAATCTTCTCTCTGCAAGATATACTTTAATAAAGTGCATTATATTAATTCAGTGTACTGTCATTTTAGTTTTGACGTTTGTTGGAAAAGGTGTTCAAAACATGATTTTAATAAAAACAAATGCCAAACCCTTATGGGCCATACAGTCACACGATACAGAGTTGCTCTGGAGAGAGAGAATTTACCCCATTTAGAGGCATTCTGGAGAATAAAATACTGTATACTATTTTGTACTGTATACTATTTTGTACTGTATACTATTTTGTACTGTATACTATTTTGGATGGGTAAGACAGTGGAAGGCCTTGGTCAAATGACCAAAAGCTCCAGTGGTGGGTCATCATATGACCCACCACTGATGAATTTTACCTAATCTAACCTGCATACTGTTCAAAATAAAGTATACAATACAAAATTTAATGTATACCAAGAGGTATATAGTATCTTCAAAAAACTATACAGCCTCTCCTTACTTTGTGACATACTCATTTACCAACACTCGGACTTACAATGGGCTCTCTGACCAGTTTGCATACCTAAATAATGTATATTATAGCTGATTTCCTCTATTCTGTTTATTACAATATACAGTACACTAATGTATAAACATTTAAAAATATACCAGTAATGTTATAAATGATGCAAAGGTGACACTAAAACAGTATCAAAGATGGTTGACACAAACCATTATAGTATGCTCCTCATTTAGCGATGAATTTATTTACCAACGTGATCTTAGGAACAGAAATCCATGGTTAAGTGAGGAGAGGTTGTAAAGTATTCCGAGACACTTACCGCAACTTGCTGAGGCGTCCATGTATCGAGGTTGACACTCTTAACTCGAGATATGTGAACGCCCAAGTTGCGGTGAATTCCAGCACATCGTATACATAAGAAAATACCAAGGTTCCACGATGCCCATCTTGGACCTATTGAGATAATGTATTTGTCAATGCAAGACATATTAGAAAAAAAAAAGCTTGAATATTAATTGTACTGAAAAAAAATAATGCACAAAATTCATTTTGTTCATAATATGATGTAGTCTACAGTTTTATAATAAGGCAATTGCTAATTAGCAATATCATTAAACTGAATTTTAAGGGGAAAATTAATATTAAAATTAAAGTGGGTATTTTACACTCGAACGGTTACAGGCATTTCCTTTTTATATATATATTTTTGCTCAAAATGCCCTGCATGCTAGTGGCTTTCTTTCGTTCTTAACAATATTTTATTCTATGTTAACTACATTACCTGTATAATGCAGAAAAGAAACGAAATACTTGTATTTTCTATTTGCACGTGAACCTAACTCAGTGTGGTAATGCCTTAAAGACTCAGAATCAATACAATTCTTAAATAATAATACCGACCAACAATATTAAGTTTATTTAGGGTCAGGTACACATAAGTACAATTATCATACATGGTGTAAATTACATAGGATAACCCCCCAAAAAAAAGTCAAGACTTATTTCCATATAATCAGAAGTGCTAAACCTACAGGAGCCCTATCTGGCTCGATCCAAGGAGAGAATTGATCTAGTTCCTTGGATCGAGATCCTCTCAGCTCCCCCATGAAGGCACTTCCTACAGGACATTAAAATAAAAACACTAAATTCGTGCGGGTTCAACACATCCTTAATCAATTATTATTATAACCAAAAAGAAGCGCTAAGCCACAAGGGCTATACAGCTCTGCATCCTTAATAAAACTCAATAATTTGTTAAATTACCAGCAATCATCGTCAAATATTTAAAAATAATAAAGTACATGCAATAAAAAAGAACTTTTTTATTATTTACATACGAGAAAATAAAGAACATTTAACCTCAACACAAAATATCAATCTAATCTAATATCACTCTTAACACATCTAACCCAAATACATCTACTTTTTTGCCAGAAATGCTCTATATCCTATATGCCTAAAAGACTATGGAAATAATGTGTATTTGTACAGGAGGAAGCAAGACCCAGCTGAGCTGTCAGTAATGTTCACAGGTTTAAAAACCCGCCTACTTTTGGCGTCACAGTCCACGCAGTACTTGTTATCTTCGTCTTTGAGTAGATCTGAGAGGATACTCTGGCATTTTTCCTGCACCAACTTGTTTTTCTCCCTCTCGGATAATGTAGACATTTCCCCCAGACTGGCGGTGTCAACAACACTGTAGCAGCAGCAGCAGCAGCAAATATGGCGGAGTATAAGTGACGTGAACACTCACTCCCCCTTGATCCTCCTCTCACTCTCACCTTGATCCTCCTCTCTCACTCTTACCTTGATCCTCCTCTCTCACTCTTACCTTTATCATACTCTCTCACTCCCCCTTGATCCTTCTCTCTCACTCCCCCTTGATCCTCCTCTCTCACTCACCTTGATCCTCCTCTCTCACTCTCACCTTGATCCTCCCCTCTCACTCTTACCTTGATCATACTCCTCTCTCACTCTTACCTTGATCCTACTCTCTCACTCTCACCTTAATCCTCCTCTCTCACTCTCACCTTAATCCTCCTCTCTCACTCTCACCATGATCCTCCTCTTTCACTTCCCCCTTAAGATAAGATAAGATTTCGTTCGGATTTTTAACCCCGGAGGGTTAGCCACCCAGGATAACCCAAGAAAGTCAGTGCGTCATCGAGGACTGTCTAACTTATTTCCATTGGGTCCTTAATCTTGTCCCCCAGGATGCGACCCACACCAGTCGACTAACACCCAGGTACCTATTTGCTGCTAGGTGAACAGGACAACAGGTGTAAGGAAACGTGTCGAAATGTTTCCACCCGCCGGGAATCGAACCCGGGCCCTCCGTGTGTGAAGTGGGAGCTTTAGCCACCAGACCACTGGGCCACCGGCCTCCTCTCTCACCTTGATCCTCCTCTCTCACTCTCACCTTGATCCTCCCCTCTCACTCTTACCTTGATCATACTCCTCTCTCACTCTTACCTTGATCCTACTCTCTCACTCTCACCTTAATCTCCTCTCTCACTCTCACCATGATCCTCCTCTTTCACTCCCCTTGATCCTCCTCTTTCACTTCCCTTGATCCTCCTCTCTCACTCTCACCTTGATCCTCCTCTCGCACTCCCCCTTGATCCTCCTCTCTCACTCACCTTGATCCCCCTCTCTCACTCTCGCCTGATCCTCCTCTCTCACTCCCCTTGCTCCTCCTCTCTCACTCACCTTGATCCTCCTCTCTCACTCCCTCTTGATTCCTCCTCTCTCACTCTCACCTTGATCCTCCTCTCTCCCCTTGATCCTCCTCTCACTCTCACCTTGATCCTCCTCTCTCACTCTCACCTTGATCCTCTTCTCTCACTCTCACCTTGATCATCCTCTCTCAATCACCTTGATCCTCCTCTCTCACTCTCACCTTGATCCTCCTCTCTTCACTCTCACCTTGATCCTCCTCTTTCACTCCCCCTTGATCCTCCTCTTTCACTCTCGCCTTGATTCTCCTCTCTCACTCACCTTGATCCTCCTCTCTCACTCACCTTGATCCTCCTCTCTCACTCTCACCTTGATCATCCTCTCTCACTCACCTTGATCCTCCTCCTGACGCCAAATGACTTCGAACAGGCGATAAATGACATGCCCATGCACTCTGCCCCAGGGCCAGACTCATGGAACTCCGTGTTCATCAAGAACTGCAAGAAGCCCATATCACGAGCTTTTACCATCCTATGGAGAGGGAGCATGGACACGGGGGTCGTCCCACAGTTACTAAAAACAACAGACATAGCCCCACTCCACAAAGGGGGCAGTAAAGCAATAGCAAAGAACTACAGACCGATAGCACTAACATCCCATATCATAAAAATCTTTGAAAGGGTCCTAAGAAGCCAGATCACCACCCATCTAGAAACCCATAAATTACACAACCCAGGGCAACATGGGTTTAGAACAGGTCGCTCCTGTCTGTCTCAACTATTGGATCACTACGATAAGGTCCTAGATGCACTAGAAGACAAAAAGAATGCAGATGTAATATATACAGACTTAGCAAAAGCCTTCAACAAGTGTGACCATGGCGTAATAGCGCACAAAATGCGTGCTAAAGGAATAGCAGGAAAAGTCGGTCGATGGATCTATAATTTCCTCACTAACAGAACACAGAGAGTAGTAGTCAATAGAGCAAAGTCCGAGGCAGCTACGGTGAAAAGCTCTGTTCCACAAGGCACAGTACTCGCTCCCATATTGTTCCCCATCCTCATATCTGACATAGACAAGGATGTCAGCCACAGCACCGTGTCTTCCTTTGCAGATGACACCCGAATCTGCATGACAGTGTCTTCCATTGCTGACACTGCAAGGCTCCAGGCGGACATCAACCAAATCTTTCAGTGGGCTGCAGAAAACAATATGAAGTTCAACGATGAGAAATTTCAATTACTCAGATATGGTAAACACGAGGAAATTAAATCTTCATCAGAGTACAAAACAAATTCTGGCCACAAAATAGAGCGAAACACCAACGTCAAAGACCTGGGAGTGATCATGTCGGAGATCTCACCTTCAAGGCCCATAACATTGCATCAATCGCATCTGCTAGAAAAATGACAGGATGGATAATGAGAACCTTTAAAAACTAGGGATCCCAACCCCATGTGAAAACCTTCGGGTCACTTGTTTTATCGGGCTGGAAATGCTGCACACAGCAGCCCTTTCAAGCAGGTAAAATTTTGCTGACCTAAAAAGAAAAGGAACCTTCAGGGGCGCGCATAACAGATAAAACCCCAAAATTTTCGGGGAGCGCTTGGGGTTCCCTGAACCTGTATTTCCGGGAAGCGGGGGGGAGAGATACATGATTATATCACCTGGAAAATCCTAGAGGGACTAGTCCGAATTTTCCCAAAAATCCTCACACGAAAGCAAAAGATTGGCAACGATGCAACACCCCCCCAATAAAAAGCGGGGTGTCACACACTTTAAGAGACCATACAAGTGTCGGGGGCCCCCGAGACTGTTTCAACTGCCTCCCACTACAAAAGGGGGGATTCCCAACAGACCCCGGCAGTTTTTCAAGGGGGCACTGGAAAACCCCCTAAAGTCGTTCCTGCCCAGCGGGGCTGTGGCTTACTTTTGTTTGCGTGCAGCCAGCAGTAACAGCCTGGTTGATCAGGCTTTGATCCACCAGGGGGCCCCGGGCACAGACCGGGCCCCCGGGGGTTTACCCCGGAACTCTCTCCAGGAAAATCCAGGAAAAATCCCCTCATCTTGATCCTCATCCTCTCTCACTCCACCTTGACCCCCTCTCTCACCCCATCTTTATCCTTCCTCTCATCTCACCTTGATCCTCCTCTCTCACTCTCACCGTGATCCCCTCTCCCCCTCATCTTGACCCCATCCCCTCACTCTCACCTTGATCCTCTTCTCTCACCTCACCTTGATCTTTCCCCTCTCACTCTCACCTTGAACTTCCCTCTCACTCACTTTTATCCCCTCTTCACTCCCCCCCGACTCCCTCCTTTATTTTCACATTTATCCTCCTCTCTCCACTCATCTTGATCCTCCTCCTCTTTCACTCTCCCCCCTAGATCCTCCCCAATTTTCCCTTCCCCCACCCAGATCCTCCTACCTCTTTTACTCTCCCACCTTGATCCTCCTCTCTCACTCTCCCACCTTTATCCCCTCTCTCACTCTCCCCCCCTTGATCCCCCTCTCTCACCCCCCCACTTTGATCCCCTCCCCCTCCCATCCACTCTCACTCTCCACCTGAACCTCCCCCTTCACTCTCCACTTTGATCCTCTTCCTCTCACTAACCCACCTTAAACTCCTCCCTCTCACTTTCCCCCTTGTCTTTTCTCACCCCCTTGATCATCCTCCTTTCTCCTTCTCACCTTGATCCCCCTCCCCTCCACTCTACCCCCCTTTACCCTTCCCCCTCCTCCCCTTGTCCCCTCCTCTCTCACTCTTTCACCTTGATCCTCCTCCTCCTCCTCCTCCTCCTCCTCTCTCACTCCCCACTATGACCCTCATCCTCAGCCTAGACTTGATCCTCCCCTCTCACTCTCCCACCTTGTCCTCCTCCCCTTCAGTCTCCCACATTGATCCCCCTCCTCTCTCACTCTCCCCCATTGATCCTCCCCCTCTCTCACTCTCCCACATTTACCTCCTATCCTAACTCTCCCCCTTGATCCCCCTCCTCTCTCCTTCCCCCCCCTTGATCTTCCCCCTCCCCCCCTCACCCCCACCATCATCCTCCAGCCTCTCCCACCTTGATCTCCTCCCGTCCACTCTCCCACCTTACCTCCCCCCCTCTGCTCCCCCTTTATCCCTCCTGTCTCATTTCCCCCTTGATCCTCCTCCCCCTACTCCCCACCCTTATCCCCTCCCTCTCACTCTCCCACCTTAATCCTCCCTCCTCTTCCCCCCACTTTGATCCCCCCTCCTGTCTCCCTCTCCCACCTTGATCCCCCCCCCTCTCCCTCCCACCTTGACCCCCTCCCCTCACTCTCCCATCTGATCCTCCCCCCCTCTCACTCTCCCACCTTTACCTCCTCCTCTCCCCTCCCCATTATCCTTTCCTTTCCCGCTCTCCCCCTTTATTGTTTTTCTCACTCTCCCCCCTTTTATCCCCCTCCTCCTCCACTCTCACTCTCCCACCTTTTACCCCTCCTCCCCTCTCACTTCCCCACCTTGATCCCCCTCCTCTCCACCCCTCCACCCCCGACCCCCTTTTCCCCTCCACTCTCCCACCTTGATCATCACTCTCTAACTCTCCCACCTTGAACTTTCCCCATCTCACTCTCCCCCTTTATCCTCCTCCTTTCTCACTTCTTACCCTTTATCCCCCTCCAACTTCGAATCTTCATCCTCCTCCTCTCTCACTCTCCCACCTTGATCCCCCTTTCCCCTCTCACTCTCCCACCTTGGTCCTCCTCCTCTCTCACTTTCCCCCCTTGATCCCCTCCCCCCTCATTCTCCCCCCCCTTGATCCTCTTCCCTCACTCTCCCACCCTTTATCGTCTCCTCCTCTCTCACTCTCCGACCTTATCCCCCCCCTCTCATTCTCCCCCCCTTAAACCTCTTCCCTCACTCTCCCACCTTATCCCCCTCCCCACTCTCTCTCCCACCCTTTAAAAAATCCCCCTCTCCTCCCCTTTTTCCCCCTTTCCCCCCCCCCCCCCCCCTCCCCCCACCCCTCCCCCTCCCCCCCCCGACCCCTTTTCACCCCCCCTTGACCCCCCCCCCCCCTCCCCCCGCCCTC